GGTCACTTTGAGAGTTTTATTGGTTTCAGGGAATGGGATGTGTGTGTTAAGTGTACGTTATCTTTTAGTTCTTTGGAAGTGTGTATGATGTGTGCATATGTATATATTAGTTGAGTGTGTGTATAAGTGTGAGATATCAATATATATATATAGTTGTAGAGTGGATAAAAATATATATATATATATATATATATATATATATATATATATATATATATATATATATATATATATGTATATGTATATTTTAATTTAAATAAAAAAACAGACCTTTTAAGGTTCCATTAGTAATAATTAATTTCACCAGAGATTTTATTTTTCTCTGGATCTTTTGAAAGTGAAGTCTGAAGATCCAGAGTAAAATAAAATCTCTGGTGAAATAAATTATAACTAATAGATCCTTAAAGTGGTTTGTTTTTTCTTTAAATTAAATTATTCGCTCTGACTTAACATTGAGCTCTCCGGATTTCATCCTCCTGGGATTATCCATACAGATTACCAAGATTTCCATATATATATATATATAATGATAAGACAGAGGCATTAATTATCCATTTCATTTATAATTTTTATTTTGTGAACACCAAGATATCCAACTCATCAAAACAAAATCGCCTCCGCAAATGGAAAACTCAATTCCTTTCTTTGTGTCTTTATTTCTGGCCCTAACAAGACCACAACAGTTATCCATTATCTTCCACACCTATTCATATAAAATGTGCTTCTTACTCTGTAATCTTCAACCTTGTAAAAAACAAATTTTGAATGGTGCTTTTTAATTTTGGGAAAAAGACAGAAGTTACAAGGATCTTAATCTGGACAAGGTGAGAGCTAACAGACTTAGGTGCAATTGTAGGAAATTCAGTCATCCAGGCATTTTTATATTAAAAACCTGAACGTCTAGATTCCAAAGAATAAAATAAAGCAAATGTGGGTATGCTTGTCAAACAAATTCAAAAGAGTTAAGGATTTCAAATTCATGTACAAAGAATGAAAATAGACTTGAGTTAAAGTCTTTGGATAGTTGGTTCATAGAAAACCTGTGGTTTAGAAAAAAGTTTTAAATAGTTGATTCATATAACAAAGCTGTGATTCAAAAAAAACTTTTATCATTAGCAAAAATACAATGAACTTGGATCAGGTTCACAAAAAAACTGTGGTTTAGAAAAGACTTTTAAATAGTTGGTTCACATAACAAATCACTAATTGAAAAAAACTTTTATTGTTAGTGAAAATTCGATGACCACCTTTGTTGTTGTTGGAGATTGTTCATTGAAAACTACATGTGTTTCTTTCAGCATGCTCTGTGGGGAAAGGAAGAAGCTATGAAGAAACTACTTGAAGGCAGTCACATATCTGCTCTTTGAAAGTTGAAATCTGTAAGTTTTCACAAAAGTAGGATTGAGAAAAATAGGTTTTCGTTTTCTCTGAATGGTTAAATATTTCACATGGTGATGCTAATTTCTGACCAATAGACTCTTTGATTTAAATGGTGTTGTATTGTGGAATCTCTTAGGCATATTTATAATATTGTCCGCCATTGGGTAGAAAATAAAGTTTTGGCATTTTTTAATGTTGTATGTATTTGGGTATATAATTGTGCTGGAAATAGGGTTTATTTCTTATCAAATAATGTTTTGTCAAAAAAAAACTGTTTAATAATATTTTGGGAGTTTGTTTTCATTGACAGTCATTTAACATTTTTTAAGAAAATTTATATTACATAACAGTTCAGTACTCTTTTCTTTGTTTCCACTAAATTTTTCCTGTTTCTTAATAGTATGTTTAACTTTTAGAAAACATTAAATATTCCAATGTAGCTGCAGATTTCAGTGTCACATTTTCTGTTGTCTGTTAAAAAACACTTTCCAGATATTTCAATTTTTGTACTTGCTTCATTTTGTCATCTCTAATTTGTAGCTTGCATCTTGAACGGCCCCTTTTGCTGACAATCATACATTCTGTCTTTTTACAATTGATGGTTAGTCCTTTCTTCCTGCCTTCCTTTACTACTTCAGTGCTAATCACTAAAAATCACCATTTCAATAATTAAATGCCTAAGGTTTCTTACAGGAACAAAGTACATGAAATAATGGTGGTGAAAAAGAGTACATGAACAAAATAATGGACCAATTGATTTGCAATGCAAAAATAGCATTTATTAAAACAAAATTAACAAAAGTAGTTTAAAACAAGAGTTTCTTTTGTTAGACATAAATTGTATACACAATGAAATGTTCATTAATATGTTATTGTGGGAACTTTGTTGATGTGTTTTAGTGTGAAGCATTCACAGCCCTTTTAGCTTCTGTGTGAAAAGTACATACCAGCCATTCAAATAAGGAAAACCCGGAAAGAAGAGTGTTACTTTATGGTTCACATGCTTTTATATTCAAGAGCTGCTACTGATATGAATTTTATTTTAGAGCTGCTACTGTTATTATGTTTAAGCTGCTGCTGATATTATGTTTAAGTGCTGTTATTGATATTATCTTTAAGGTCACTACACTACCATGTCTAGGAGTTCTTGCAGTTTTCTGTGTCTGCTATCAATATGGTGCCATCTGTGTATCTTATGCTGTTAAGATTGCACCCACCAATAATAAATTCTGGTAGAACTTCTAATTCTCTTATGTGTGTCTCAATGTATGGGTTAAATAAATCTGGATGAGAAGATGCATCCTTGTCTTATGCTCCATTTCTATTTTTGTGTACTAGCTCAATTCATTTTTTTAATCCATTATACCATCCACACATCACAATTGTTTGTTGATGGCTGTGCTAGCATAAAATCAGAAGTCATTGTGATCGAGTATTTGAGAGTACTGACCTTCTTCATGTCAGATGATGTGCTCTCTCCCAGAAACTGTTACTAAGGTCTGCTCAGTATAATTACAGTATAAACTACAGGTTGGCTCTGTCAGTATTGAACAAACAAAAATCTGCCTGAACAGGCATCTACAATAGGGATTAGCCAGCCACCCTACCTGACATACTCAGAAACAATTCCAAAAGAGAGAAAAACATTTATAGACCTTGCTGAAAGAAATGTGTGCATGCATGTGTGTGTGTGTGCATGTGTGTGTGTGATGTGCCACGTGACATGTTGAAATTAAAATGACGGTCTGCCAGGGGAAGAAACCTTCCCTTGTGAAGAGAAGTTCTGTTGTTTCTGCTACTACATTCTGGAGTTAAAAATGAGGAGAAGGTTCATATCTGTCCCGTTTATAGTCCTGAATTGAACATCACCTAGCAGTTATCCTAGCGGATAAGGTGAGGTAATCCCTCCAAGCTAAAAAGGTAGGAAGTTGTGAAGAACCATATTAGAAAAGAAAGTAGTCAAACCAACTTCAACTACCCACTTAGTCAACTGCATTCACTTTCACACTAATGTCTTTAGGAAAGGCATGAATACATCTCTTCCATTATCTCTCCAGATATGTATTAAATAGCAAGGTAGATTGAGTTTACTAGCCTTGAGTGATAGCCAATCTAAAAAAAAAAAGGACTATTCAGAATTCCAAACTTTGAAGAAGGCAACAGGAAACCATTCTACTATCTTTCCCAAGAAAAGGAATCTGTAGAGATCCGTGATTTCCAACATTTTGAAGGAACATGACATTAAAAATAAATATGTATAAGTATATAGCACAAGAGAAATTAAAATATAATGAAAGATGAGAAAAAATTCCTCAAGTGCCATATGTGGTATACACTTGTGTGGTCATGTCTCTTTCGATTCATGACTTACTAGGCAGAAGATTTTCCCACAGTAAGTTGCCATTTCTTTTTGCAATAGACTGATTGCCAAACAAGGCTATAGGACCCAGTCTGTCATGCTATTCAACCCATAGCTGGAGGAGAAAAGGTGTATTCATACCTTTCCCAATGTTATTTGTTTATAAGTGAATGTAATGAACCCAACTGGAAATAAAGAAAGGAGAAAAAAAATGAAAGAATGAAATAGAAAAGAATAAAGAAAGAGTGAGAAAGAAAATGATAAAAAAGGAAAGTGATAGGAAAAAAAGAAAAAGAAAGAGATAAAAAAAATATGTAGAAAAGAGTGAAAAAAAAGCTAGTAAGGTTGCCTCTCTATAAATATTTTCATGGTAATTGTTTGGATGAGCTCTTCACTATAGTAGCTAGATTTCTTTGAATTTAAGCACAGCACTAGACTGACATTGAGATCTCATCAATTTACACTTTACATTTGAGCAGGCTAGATGTAGCCATAAGTTCTATGTTAACAGTTTCTTTTCTCACACATCCCATTTGTGGAACTCCTTTCCAGCTCCATACATTCAAGCCAACTTTAATCTGCAAAAATTTAAATGCAATGTCAATCGCTATCTACAGTCCTCCTGATTACTCTTTTCTCTTTCCGCTCATTATTAATGTTTTTGTTCCTAATTCTTCCACACCCTGTAACCCCTTGTGTCTTAGTGACTTTATTACCTTGCATGGGGTGATACCGATTAAAAATAAAAATAAACGATAGAATGAAGAAAATGATACAAAAGAAAAAAAACGAAAGAAAGTTTAAGTTAGCATAAAAAAGTTAAAAAAGAAAAAGTAATCTAGAAAAGAAAGTGTAAGTTAGAAAGAAATCGGAAAGTGAAAGAAATGTTAAGAAGACTAAGAAAGCGTAAGAAAGAAAGAAAGAAAGAAAGAAACATGAAAGGGAGGAGAAGAGAGATAAAATAGTGAGTTAGAAAAGAAAGACAAACAGAGAGAGGAGGGAAAGAAGAAAAAGAAAAGAAGAAGCAGAAGAAGAAAAAGAAGAAGAAGGTCAAGGCTGTTTCGTCGCAGTTCTCATTTCATGTAGTTTTAGGGCCGGCATCGACGTTTTCATCTCTTCATTCGGGACATCATCCGTCACTCTTACTGCGAATACACGGGTTGTTTTTTATTTTCTCTCTTTATTTTAGCTTTAATTTCATCAAAATAACCAATAATTTTGTTATTTTTCTTCCACCAAACAACTAAAAATGGCCAGCCCCATGAGAATCTGTATTGTCGGCTCTGGAAACTGGTAAGTTGAAACTTTGGAAAAAAAAAAATAAACAAAAAAAAATGTTATAATTATTTATTATCATTTTATTTTATTATTATTATTACAGTATTTTTCCTTTATTTTATTAATAAGTAAAAAAATGGTATTATTATTTTTATCATTCTTTTTTTATCAAGATTGATTTAATTTATCGCAGTCTGTTGTCTGTCGTCTTCATTCTGATGATGTCAATGTTTGGATTTTTTTTTTCCTTATTTATTCATTTTTTCTTAGTCTAACTTCAAAATAATAGAAAACAGTTAATTAATTCTTTATTTTTGGCAACATTGCAGCTTAAAATATAAAACATTGTTTTATTTGTTTACATTTTTTTTTACATATACTAAAAAAGAAAAAAAAAAGAAAAAGTAACTTTGGTGCCTGATTTATCAAAAATGTCTGAAACCTTCTGTTGTTATCGTTAAGAAAAACAAATTAAATAAATATTTATTTTTATGGTTATTTTTCGTTATTCTCTTCTTATATCTGTTATTTTTAAGAACCGCCTTAAAAATTAAAAACAATGCAAGTGGAGGCGATAAAACGTTAGTCTGGTTCGCTATGACATTTTAATTTTATTATTATACTCAATACTGTGAATAAATTTCCAATCCATCCAAATTCGTTCAGAAATCTTTTCAAGGTTGCATTTAAAAAATTATTTTATAATTATTTTAATTTAAAAATTGACGTGGGACGATCGCATCGAAATGAGAGGAAAATAAAATAATAAATACGGTTTTTTTTTTTAAATATTTAAAAAAAAATGTTTAAATGGTGTTTATTAATTGGATTAGTTTATAAAAAGAAAAGAGATATTATTTATAAATTTAAAATAATCCACTTCTTTTTTTAAGTCTCCTAATTTCAAAAATAAACAATGTCCCATGGCACAATATTTAAAATAAAAATACAGACTTTTTTATTACATTTTACTTTTTTAGATCTTTCTTTTTAAAAACACGTTGAATATTTAAAAAAATAACAATTCAAATAAATATCATTTTAATCATTTTATTTTTTATTTAAACATTTTTTCTGTTTACATTTTAAAGCCGAGTCATCGTTGTAAAAAGCAATAATAATGGTGTCCTTTTCATGACTGTCTCTTTCTCTTAGTTTAGAAAAAAAAAAGCTTAATTCTTTGAAATTAATCTTTAAAATGATCATCGAAATTCACTGAAAGTTTTGCATCTATTCAATTCCTATTTCTTTTAATATGTTAGAACTTTATTTGCCAAAAAATCTGTTAGAAACAATCTTTTTCTCTCCAACGATGCCATCGTCTTTTTCTTGAGACTCGAAAATTACGTTTAAAAACTCGACGTGTTTAGGTTATTTTTTAACCGATCTTATATCGTGAAAAGTGAAAACGCTTTTAAATGTTAACTTGAAAAAATCTTGTTAAGATTCTGAATTTGATCTATAATGTGTTTTATATTTTTCTCTAAATATAAAATGTTGTAAAAAAAATTATCCTTTTTGTCCATAAGAAAAGAAAATGTTTTATTTTTAATGAAGAAAAAAAAACACTTGATGCTGGACGATAGACGTTCGGTTAAAAACTTTAAAAAATGTCCAATTTCAAAGTTACTTCGTGTTTGACTCTTTCAATCTGAATTATTGTGTAACAACATTAAATTTTGAAGATTCAAAAATCCAAAGACGATTAAAAAATTAAAAAAAATATCTAGAAAGTAGATTTGTTTGTGAATTCGGTTTTAAAATGAAGAAAAATATATGTAATTTTTTTGTTTTGTTTTTCGATAAAATAAAAAAAGAAAAAAAAATTAAAACTGGTTTAAAAAGCTGTAAACAAATTGTATTTTTTGAATTTGCTGTCATTTTTAAATATTTCACCAAGTTTAAATGTGGTAGGTACCATTTTTTTGTACTCAAGTCATTTTTTTGTTTACTAATACTTTGTTCGCATTTATTATTATTATTATTATTTTATGAGTATTTTTTAAATTTGTTTACACAATGTTTGGAATAATAAACAATTCTTTTCATTTTGAATTTGAAGCTAATGAAAGTCACTTCTTACATTTAGCCAGAAAAAAAGTTAATCTTGTTAAGACTTGTATTTTGATAAAGGAAAAAATGTTTTTTTGGAAACGATTGTCATTTATCGACGGGATTCTTATTTTTAAAACTAATAAATTATTCTTTTTTACTTTTTAGTATGTTGGTAACTTTTTAAAGTACATGAATGCACTAATACAGTTATTTGGACTATAGAATGATTTCCCCAAGATGTTAAAATTAAAAATAAATAACAAACCCCCAACAAATGAATGACTATTTTCCAACTGTGAACGTCTTCATCAAATGAGCTATAGCCTTGTAATTATTGAATTCTTGGGTTGGTAGGCATGGGAGTATGTGTGTGTGATATATTAATTAGCGATATGTGCTTTGCATAGAGCCTTGAAGAGAAGCAGACTTGGATGCCATGCTGCCTGGGCCGGGGGGCGTAGCCTGATTTTGAACTCTGTTGAAAGGTGGTTGCAGATGGATGACTTAAAAAAAAAAACAAAAAAAAAAACTTTTCCTCCTATGCTTCCATAATTAATTAGGGAAGAAAAAAAAATAAACGAATCCCATGGATGGTCTGATGAGGGGCTGGTTTTCCCAAACTTGCAATTAATGAAAAATATCCTCGTGTGCATCTAGCACTTTACAGATCATAAAAAAAAAATTCTTGAAAATGGCTAATATTTAGCGGAGTCGAAAGTAATCAGAATTAATATATGTTTTTGGACAATTTCAATACTAAGTTCAAAAAAGAAAACATTTATTCGCTACAAGAAAAATATGAAAACAACAAAAAACCAAAGTAACTTGTCTTAAAGATGGATTATTGCCCAAATACACAAAAAAAATGCGCCACATAACCAATTAATTCTCTAAGGATAATAAATCAGTCTATGGAATGCAGAAAATATTTCAACTTAAAATACCTTATTAAACTTTTATTTAAAGGGATTGTTGTTGAGAATGCAGGCCAAATGTAACCACTTAGGTAGCAACAGTCGTCATCTTGAGGATTGTTTTTAAAATTGTAACAAATCAGGATTGATTGATATGGAAACTTTGTTCATTTTGAAGTGATTTATTTTTACAATTCCTTTAAAAAAAAATTTAATTGTTCTGAGTTCTTTATGCTTGTCTCCTGTTCAGTTACACATTCTGTGCATCATCATAATCATTTTTATTTTTTTATTTAAATCAAATAAAACAGAAAAAAAACTCATTTTTATTGTTTACTTTGCTTTTTTTTTTTCGTCTTCATTCCAATCTGCAAACTTACTTTCAAGGACAAGTACTGATTTCAAAATTATTCACCAAAAAGTAAATATGGTTGGCATAGAGAGAAATAATTTAGTGTTCATTAAATAATGAAAAAGCAAACAGAAACTTAACCTATTGTTTGTGAGGGGAAGTCTCAATTTTTAACACAGATGCAATGCAGTCTTCTTTTTAGCAAAAACAAATCCATTTTCCAATAATAGTTTGACTGTAAAAGTAAATATTTACTGAACTTGGCTTAGTTTGGTACATAAGCCCGCAAATGTGGAACACCCAATAAAAATAAATTGTGCTAAAGAGGACAGGATGAGGATCCTATGATAAAGTACTTCTAGGTGTGGTATAAGAAGAATCCAGTTTTTTGTTTTTTTTTTTTAGATATCCGTTGGGGGAGGGGGATGTATATAATCAGCAACGAAGCTCGTCTTTTGAAGGAAAAATGTTTCTGTGTATCGTTTTCACTTTTCAGAGATTAATTAAGGCAGATCATTTTTTTTTTTTTTTTTTTTTTTAACAAAAAATCAAATTAGCTCAAGTGTAAATGTTACTAAGCAGAACCTGTTTTTAGCCTTGTTTTAAAACACGTTTTGTTTCTGGTGTCAGTTCAATCAAACAAGTCGTGTCATCTAAAATATTTATTTTCTGATCTAAAATAAATTCTTCAAAGAAAATTTAAGAAAGTATGTCTTTTGCCTGTCCAAACTGATAGTGACTAAAACAAATATTATCCACTCTGTTCCTTTCTCTTCTATTCTGTTGTTGTTATTGCTCGTGACAAAAGGCAAAAAAAAGGACAATTAACAATAGAACTGAGCACAAAAAGGTCATTTCTTTGGCTTAGAACTTATCCTAAACTTCTTTTTATTTTCATGTGTGTAGGTGTGATTTTTAACACATTATTTTTCTTACGGCATTTTGATTGTCTGATCTTTTGAATTGACCATAATATTTGATCAAATTAAGTTTCCAAGCTTTGAAACAGAAAATTGCCATAATTAACTTTTAAACCCTTGATTTCTTTTTTTTTTTTTTTTTTTTTTTTTTTTTTGCTTTTATTTCTTTTTTAATGTGTTTTGCAAATCTTAATTTCACCATATCCGCATATTAGGAAGTTCCATTTGGACAGCTTTTTCTCCAGAACAGACTCCTAACAGGATTCTTCCCCAATCACTACAATCTTAAGCTCTTCAAATCTGGAGTCAGCCATTACCTATCCTACATATCCTCATAATATGCACTTCTTACTTTCTCCTTTTTACACTCTTATAACAGCCTCATTCAGCAACATTTTACCTTGAGTAGATCATGAGCCTTGTTTTGGGTGGGGGGAGCAATAGAAAATGTAAGCAAAATGTTGAATCCATATCCTATATTTCTAGTCTGATGCAACACTGTTTCAGCCATGTCATCAATCTTATAGGTGAATATTTTTTCATATTGTTGGTATGCTACTAAACATGCAATGTTACTGTTATGATTGCAGATACTTAAAAGTCAAACTATCTTGTATTAAAAAAAAATTTATGTACATAATTTATATCAAATTGAACATTTTTAAATTAAGAATAAAAGCTCAACCAATTCCTTGAATTTGTGTTTTCATTTTTTAATTTATAATTTTGGCCTCATATATGGAGTTGAATTTTGAAGTCCTTCATTTATTTAGA